TTTTTTGTCAAACATTCAGTCAGTTGTTCATAAATCTTTGACCATACTTCTGACTCTCTCCTTAGGACAGTGTCCAAAAAATAGAATTCCAGGGAAAGGAGATGAAAATGTTTTAGGGCTGATAATAATTTTACCAGATCATTTGCAAAAAGGATATATCCATTTATACTCCCACTAGCAACCTGAGAGCACCTCTTTCACTGCACCCTAAACCACATCAAGTCATTTATTAGATTTTTTTGAAATGCATTGTAAAAGGTTTCTTTCAATGTATTTTAGGCTTTAAAAATTGCTTCACCCAGAAGCTAGTGGTGAGATCTTCAGAGTCAGCCAGAGCTAGGCTTCAATCTTCAGCCCATGAAGCCATGTGACTTGTACAAGTCAGTCTCTGAACATCTGCTTCCTCATTCAGTACATAAAAATACCTACCTCAGAGAATTCTGTGGTGATTAGACGTAATAATGTTTATAATGTGCTTAGCACAATCCTGGCATACAAAAAGAGTTCAATAAATGGCATATTTCTTTCTTTTGGACTAAAAGTTCCATTAGGTGATATCTATTGTGCATGTTTTTTTGTTTTGTTTTGTTTCGTTTGTGGCATTTGCTTAGTGCATGATACATAACTGGTATTCAATATTGAATGAATGAAAATATTCCATTTTAATAGTTAAAAATGGTATGTCACTTAAAGTTTAATTCAATTGCTAAAAAAGTCCTAGGATTACTAGCTGTTTGCATTTTCTGTCTGTCATTTTTTCAATTCATGGCCACACAACAAGGCAGTTTGTAGGTTTTTACAAAGTCTTTAAATATGACAACACTCTGTATTCAAAAAGTTCACATGCAGGAATTTATCTTAAAGGAACAAAGCAGATATACTCACATATATTTTTTCTTTATGTGATTAGTACTTTTTTAGTTTCCTAGAATATTTTTTAAAATCAGAAAAAAAACTAATAAAGGTGATTTGGGGGCCAAAAAAAAAACCGACCCCCAAACAGAAACACTTCCTGTAGAAAATCACCATTAAATAGGCTTTTGGTCGATGTAGACATATTAAATGTACTAAATCAATCCTGAGAATCCCAGCATAAGCCCATTCTCAGTCTATCATCTATTCCATTTACATTTTCAATATTCACAAGAACTCAGTCCATGGGTCACCCATATTTACTACTCATTATTTAATATGAACCCTTGAAGCATCTGAAACGTCTCTCGCCAAGGGAAAGCCCTCCTCCTGGGTTTGCCCTGCCTGGGCCAGGCACCAACATTAGAACCAAATCACATTCTCCCTTGGATTCTGCCCTTCTTTTCTATATAGTCCCAATTCAAAGATGTGTTAGGATTTGAGGCTAATGCGTTTAGCTGTAAGTTAGGACATGCCTCAGTTATAGGAGGCAGCATGGTCATGAGAAAAGAATGAGATTTGGATTCAGAGAGAATTAGATTTATTTCTTAGTTCTATCATTTATTAGCTATGTGATCTTATGATTAAGCCTTACCTATTTTTTTAAAAAAAGGGTAATAATGCCTACTCTATTGTGTTGTCATGAGAATTAAATAATGATAATGTAGATACAGATACCTCGGCCTGGAATGGAACAGCCATTCAATAAACAGTTCTCTCTTTCATTTTCCTCCTTTCTTCATTCCTTTCATAGCATCTGCTGCATTCGATGAGAGGGGACCCCTGCAGAATACAAGAAAATGGCTGTGTCAGGGAACTGGAAGTGAAGGTAGAAGGAAAGCAGTGGGTGGAGAGACAGAAGGGGCTGGGTAGTGAGAATCAGAACTGGAAGAAAAGCCTGCACTGGTTGTTTTATAGGCAAGGTCTCAACAGAGGAGGGAAAGACAGCACATGCTTTGAACAGGCTGGAGAAAGGGAAAGTGGGTGTGAGACGGGGGCATAAAAAACAAACCTTATTACCCTTTCTTGACTGGGCTATGTCACTGATGGACAAAGGAATATTAAACCAAGAAAAGGAGGTCGATAACATTTCTGGTAGGAAAGATTCTAGCAAGGATAGGGTATCTTTCTAATCTCACAGAGCAAGATTTAGCTCTGGCATTCAAAATCAGTTTGTTTGACTATCAAAAGAAATATCTAGTCAAGCCTGGGAATAAAAATCAAGGTTTAAATTAAATCAACCACAATTGACAATAATTAAGGATTATAACCAAACTGAAAGTAGAGAGTTATTTTTGTTAAAGCCTTGTATTGGGTCACAAGCAGTATATATAAAATTTACTTGAGAATTTGCAGAGCCAAGAATTACCAAGACACTCTTGAAAAAGAAAAATAAAGAAGGAACACTTGTTCTGGTAGATAAAAAGGCTCATTATAAATCTACAGTAATTAATTCTAAATAAATAGAGCAAGTGAACAAAGAGCTCAGAAACAGGTGTGTGTGTGTGTGTGTGTGTGTGTAGTCTCTTAATAAATGACTATGATAGCTTTGCAAAGCAGGAGGAAAAGGACAGTCACTTCAACAAATGGTGCTGGGGCATGTTCATCTCCATATGGAAGAGAATGAAACAAACTTCCTATCTCACATGACACATAAAAATCAATTCCCAACTGGACTATAGAATTAAATGTGAAAGGCAAATCAGATAAGCTTTTGGAAGATAACACAAAAGAATTCTTTACGATTTTAGGATAGGGAATGGTTTTCTTAAACAGGACACAAAACATTAGCAATTAATCACTGATGAATTGGACTTCATTAAATTAAGAACTTCTGTTCAACAAGACACCGTTTACAGAATGAAAAGCAAGCCACAGACTGGAGATTTCACAGTGCGTATATCCAATTGTATTTTATATATATGATATATATTACGTTATACATTAATGTTACTTACCATATATAGTATATGATATGTGACATATATATCTATATATCTAGGATATATATATCTTCTAGAAACTATATATCCTAGATATATTCTAGATACTATATATCCACAAGAATGACTAAAATTAAAGAGACTGACAATACCAAGTATTGCAAAGATAGAGAGCACATAGGACTGTCTTATATTGCTGGTGGGAGCATAAATTGCTACAAGCAATGAAAAAGTATAAATTACAGATATATGCCACAACATAGATGTATCTCAGACATAATGTTGTGTGAAAGAAGTCATATACAAATAGAGTATATAATAAAGTTGCTATTTGATTAATTTATAAGCCTGAATGGAGAAGCAGAATTTTCAGAGCTATTTTTATTTATTTATTTTTTAACTTCCATAACGTTACACCAAAGTATATAGAAAAAATTTTATGTTCCCTGTCTGCACTTTGCCAGATTCTGATATATTAATATGGTAATGGAGGCCAGTGCACTTAGATAAGAGAAAAAAAATTAAAGGTGTAAGAATTAAAAAGAAGTAAAAATATTTATGCTGGTGGATCACATGAAATTACCTAGAAAATTCTAGAACATCAAAGATAAAATGAATTTAAACAATAGAATTCAGTAAGTTAGGATATAAAATTAATGCACAAAAAGTTTCCATACATAAAAATAACAACCAGTTAAAAGATAAAATGGAAGAAAAAAATGCTAATCTCAATAGCAACATATAAGACAAAAATACTTGATTTCATTTTAAGTGTTCAAAATCTCTACGAAGAACATATTAAAACATTTCTGAAACACACAAAATAGATGAACAAACGTAAAGAAAACCCTTTGTTCTTGGATAGGACATTTCTTACAAGATGTCAGTTCTTCCTAATTTATAAACTTAATATGATCTCAATTAAAAATTCCAAAAAGCTTTTTCATTGCTGGAGCTAGGAAAGTGATACTGAAATTCATTTGGAAAAAAAAAAGAACAGCTAGGAAAACACTGAAAATGAAAAGCTATGAAGGGTGATTAGCCCTTCAGACATTAAAACATACTACACAGCCTCTGTATTTAAACCTGGAGCTACAGGTCTACAAAAAGACAGACCAATGAAGAATAAAGGAATGAAAGGGATAGGGGAATAAAATTTGAGTATACATTTTTGAGTGGTTTAGATTTCTGGAAGCATGTTAATGTTCTATATATTTAAAAAACAAAATTAAATACTAGACAAGATGTAAAAATATGCTATGTAAAAAAAATTATTGGGACAACTGAAAAAATTGGAATATAAAGTATTAAATGTTAAATTTTCTGAAATTGATAACTGTACTGGTGTTATGAAAGAGAATATTGTTATACTTGGGGAATATACACTGAAGTATTAAAGGGTAAAGGAGCATTACCCTTTGCAACTTACTTCCAAAAGATTGAAAAAAATTATGTGTATATTCACATTCATATAGGAATATGTAACATACATACATATAGAATAATTTTTTAAATAAAAAATCGGTAAATGCAACTAAAAGGTAAAAAGTTCTATATTATTCTTTCAATTTTCCATATATTAAATTCAATATTATTTCAAGTTTAAAAAACATGATCTGGTTTTAAAGCACTACTGTCAAACTCAGAAATCGAAATTGGGATGATAAACCATCGGGGGCAGTCAGGTACATCTATGATGGATGGATAGACTGGTTGATTTCAGTAATTACGGTAAGACATTTTAATGAATGTAAATGGATGCCTTCATTTCATGAGCCCTATTTCTCAACTATCATAGGACCAACAGAAATGAAGTTGGGTCTCTCATTCTATTAAGCAAATGGCCTTTTGCCTCCAGCAATTTTCTCAAAGTCAGTTCAAATGCATTAATAGGTAAACTGGAATTACCTTCATCAGCTTATAATGGAGAAAATATTGATTTTTAAATATAATGAACATGAAACCCTTGAAACAAAACAGGCAGTGTAATCAGGGTAATTAATGCACTGGTGTTGGGCAAACTGCACATGAATTATCAAGATTGCAAGTGGGTCTAGGAAACAGAGTGTGGCCTGGGCCAACCAGCCTAATATCCACTGCATTTGTTTTGGCTAATCAAGTATTACGTGCAACCAATGGCCAAGAGAGCTTTGGAAATCACTTTATTACTTCTGACGTCAAGGCACAGAGATTAAATATTCTTTTGACACAGATTGAGTGCTAATATCTAAATCATACATTGAAAAGCAGTACAAGTATCCCTCACAGCAGACAATGACGGTTTAATTAAAACCAGGTATGGAAAAATCAGGATGTCAAGATAAATACCAAGATGACCACATACATTGATACAGGGATTATATGATTTGGGGTTCTAATTCAACAATTTTTGTTAGTAGTCACGCCAAAAGTAACTGGGAAAATATGTACCTAATTGTTAAGAGGTTATGTCTGGGGACGGGAGTAAAAAGAAATATTCATTTCGATACATATTTCAATATCTGAATTTTGAAGATTGCCTTTACAATTTAAAAACAAATCAGATCTAGTGATTGGCCATGGTAAAAATATATAAATGTACATGGCAATAGCAAGCTATGTAAACTGGCTTCATAGTGATCAAACTAAAATTCTAGTATTTTCAGACCTAGCTAATAAATATTAAGTTTGAAAATATTAAAGAGGAATGAGATAAGCAAATAATGAAATATGGATATTTTTCATTCAATAGGGAAGCTCTTTGGACTCAAAACATCAAACCTTTATTCCATAAAACATATAATAATCTTAATGGTAGTTAACTTTAAAAAGCCACAAATACTATGAATTAAATATATGATACAGAAAAAAAAAAAGACATCAGATTATGTTGGGGGAAAGATATTTTAAATACAGTACATTTCCACAGCAAAATTTTCAATGGGATACTTTTTTATTCGGTTCTTTTTTCTAATAAAGAGTTTTTCTCTTTGTTTACTAAAATATTTTCTAGTCGACCTTTATATGTAAAATTTATCAAACAGGCAATTCCCTTAAGAACAGGCTGAGCCAGATGAAATGTGTAAACCAATTTACATATAAAATTAGAAGGCTAATTTTGGTATTACTGCATAGGTTTAGCATTATTGCATAGGTTCCAAAGTTTTTGCAAAACAACACTAACTTCTTAATTTTAGATTTGTAGTTGCATCATCCTATCTGCCACCTACTGATGGAAGCACCACCTTGTGGCAAAAGTAAGTTTCTGAATTACAGAAGTCAAGACGGTCACCCAGAGAGAACAACTGGTAGCCTTCCTGACACTAGTGATGTTCTATTTCCTATCTGTATAGAGATGCCATGAGTACTCACTTTGTAATTATTTGTTAAACCACATGACTTTTCTGATATTGTATTTTGCAATTTTAAAAGTTTAGGAAAAAAATATTTTATGTGTACCTGAACTAAAAATAATAGGCCTAAATGCTTAAATTTTCTAAGCACTGGTCATACTTCCCAGAACTACAATGTATCTGTAACCTTGTAAATGCACTACTGTATTTTTATGATAGGAAACAAAGCACCAGAAAGAGATACATTCTTTGGTAAGAGATGGAAGGATTTTTTCCCCAGAATGTTTTCATCACTGCTGTCAGCCTCCAAAACTGCAGGTACTCTGTAATCATGTGGAATAACCTCCACACACCTATACTAACATGTCTGAAACTGTCTAAAATACACTAGATTGTACTACATCAATACGGAATATCAAGGATATATGGCATAATTAACTATGCAACAATATTCAATCAAAAAGGTTTTTCTTTCATGTTTTATTTACCGCATTTCCAGGAAGTGACACATACTAACTAGTCACAGAATACTTGAATTAGTTGAAGGAAATTTCACCTATCTCTAACTGCCATTGAATCACTTTTCCTAGGAGCTAAGTGCACCACATTTAGAACCTCTTTCAATCTGTAATTTTTTTAAAAGGAAAAAGCCTATTCTTTTTTCTCAGGAAATCGGTCAGGATCCTTTAGTGGCCACCTCCCTCACTAAGACCCTCGCCCAAGCACATCTATTTCAGTGGCAGGTGAGAAGAGCCAGTAGCTGATGCTACCCTGTGGAGGGGAAGCACTGCATCCTCAGGGACTGCCACTGAACTATCTTCCATTAGACCATGGAAAGCAACTCTCACTCCTGATTTCATCTCTGCTTCATTCAAACATTGGGAATGTTAAAGATGTGGACAGATGTGCCTGAGAATATTTCACAGGACAATGCCTTCTGCTGAGTTAACGCTACCTGCTAAAATAATCCTTATGTTCAAGTTAGGTACAGAAAATATTTTTAAAGAAACTCGGAATGTTACATCACAATTGCTGACTTAAGCCATTTCATAGAGCTATATAACAAAAAGGGAGCCACTATGCAAATGTTCTTGACACATCCCAAGTATGAATATGCCAATAATCATAAATATGGCTCAGTCAAGCATTTGTCTCTATATATGAAAAAATGTCAGGCTGTTGTACCACCAAGATCTATAACTTCAATAGGGGTCTTCAAATACAGCTGCCTCATAGGTGAAAAGAAGGAATATTCTCAGGGGTCTTTTAACAGAGTCTTAAAATGGAGAATAAAATTATTGAACTTTAAAGAGGTCAAATTCTTATGTCCCCGTGAATGCAAGTAAGAAAATATAAACTTAACATGAGCTGTTTCACTAAGATTTCTGGAATAGTTCAGGCCTAATAGTTCAGGCCTAATATTTCAGGCCTAATGTTAAGATAAAATATTATTAATGAGAAATCTTGGCATTGATATTCCAGAGAAGTTATAGTTCAATATTTTAATCAAATATAACCATTTAAAAACTAAAAAATTTCTTCAATATTTTAAGAAAAATATAGTTCCTTTTCCTCCTAGAAAGAGACATACAGAGAGAGAGAATCATGAATAATAATGGAGAAAATGACTACCACTCAATGGGAAACAATCTTTTAACTGAAATAAAAAACTCAATAATTCCAACAGACTTCTATTTTTTAATAAAAACATATATCTAATTACTCAAAGTATAAGGAACATCTTAATTATTCAAAGTCTCTGTGGCTAATACTATCACAAGCATTAGAAAAGAGAATGCACAGTAACAAAAAGCAAGCTTAGGCATAGCTGGTTTACCTTCAGGAAATCAAGAATCTCTAGAAATTATTAAAATTATAAAAAGGTTAAATTTTATATGCCCTTTTTCTCAACTTTGATTAAATGTGACTACATTAAAATATTGACAGTCTTTGCGAAGCAGAAATGTATAATGGTATATTTATTTTAATCCTTCTTTAAGAATGATATCTAAACAAAGCTCAGACTAAGACACACACTAATACATGTCAGGAAAATAACAGTATAAATTTTATACCGCATTGTCAGGTAATGTTAACAACCAGATTCAAAAAATAAGGAAAACCAATGCTATTTTACATGTCTTTGAGCCGGGAAGTTTCTCAAGTAATGGTGTCATATTCAGGAAATGATACTTAAAAATAGAAATTCTTATACATTAGTCTCTCTGTTAAATATGTCTCTTTCAAATCCTTCGGTTAACAACAATACTTTAAAAATCTTCAATTGTAAACTCTTAGCTTGCAACGTTTTGATTTTTCCTGAATCTTGAAAACTTCAAAATGCCATTAAAAATATCATCTTCTGTTTCTTCTTAAAGAACTAATGTTCATAAAAGGATCATCATCATCATCCTGAAATGATATACAAACGTTATTTTAGTGATTGTTCCACACTTCACTGAGGCAAGACAGAAGATCTTATGGGCAAAACAATACCAGTAATTTTCTCCTATCACATGAGGTAGACTTTCATTTTTCTGTTTCCTTTATAAACACTACTAGTTTGTCAATTTATGTTTTCTCTTCCTCCTTTCCTTAGTAGCTATTTCACCATTGAAGTAAATAAGTCCAATTAAATTCTTAGCAAACAACAAGAATAAAAATTTATCATGTTATATATGTGTGTATAACTACCTACAAAATTGACCAGATATATATCACTTATCTATTAACCTTAATAAAGGCAAGTAAGTGTGGGCAAGCCAGAAAAATACTCAAGTCATTTCTATTTGGTTTTTAAATAGGTTTTTTTAATTTACATTTTATTACTATAGTAGCTCATGTTCTGAAAACTCAGACAAAAAATTAATAAAGTCACATGACCTAACTCAGAAATAGCTGTAATTCTTCGTACTCATTACTCCTTTAGTGCCAGAAATAGCTACTTTTAGACTGATGCAAGAAAAGAACTTAGCAATCTTTCAAATATTTTTTTTGGGAAAAGAAATAGATGGAGTATTTCATCAGAGTTCCCAGGCTGCTGGGCTGTGTTATATGCGTTGTAAAAACAGACAGGAATATCAGAAATTAACTAAGAAATTAAAAAGAATGAAAACTAATGAACCTCGGATATGCCCCAGTTATATAATTTGATAAAGATAACACTGAATTGATTCTTATGTATTTTACAACAAATACTCAAGAAAAAAAAGCAAATTTGTGATTTATGTTTCTTTTAAGACATCAATAAAAAGGAATAATTATTTGGTGTTAGGTTTTGTTGGTGGTATTAATACATTCAAATGTTAGCTAAGTTAGCTATTTCCGGTGAGAAATGGATGTTCTGAGAATTCACTTTCATTTACTGATTCATTTTCTGCTACTATCAAAGGCAGAACTTGTTAATAAACTAGAGATATATCCAAAGTTTAACAGAGTATTTGCTAATAGTTCTTTGCAGTTAACATGAACTATATAAATTTTTAAACTCTAATGTATAATCACAGGTATGTCTACAGGCTTTGAAATTAATAAACCAGTCAATAACCTCTCACTTCTCTCCTGGAGGCAACACATAAGTATTTAATTAGTGGACTGAGCTCGTGCTGCCATTTTTCTCTGCAGCCTGAATTCTGGTGAGTCTTCTCCTCAAGCTGTTCCAAAACCACAGCTGGGATACAGGGAACATGACAACAACAGTTGAAGCTCAAAATAAAAGGAGTGAGTCACATGCTATAACAGGGATGAACCTGGGGGACATTATGCTCAGTCAAACACGCCAGTCACAAAAAGGCAAATACTGTGTTATTCTACTCATATAAGGTATCTAAAGTAGTCAAATTCATAGAGACAGAAAGTAGAAGGCTGGTTGCCAGGGGCTGGGAGGAAGGAGAAATGGGGAGTTGTTCAATAGGCAGAGATTTGCGGTTTGGGAATATGAAAAAGTTCTGCAGATCTGTTACACAACAGTGAATATCTTAACACTACTGAACTGCACACTTAAAAATGGCTAAGATGATAAAGCTTTATGTTAAGTGTTTTTACCACAATTAAATTTTTAAAAATAAATGAAAGGAGTGATAGGCTTAAGAGAAACACTTTCGAGCAATTCAACAAAAACTAGCAAAGGCCACTCAAATGGCAGCCATGGAGAAAAAGGAGAGGCCACACTATCCTTTAGTCATGTAGCTTTAATTCAACTTAGCTGAAATGATAAATGAATACAGGCAAGGGGCAAGTCCTGATTCTACCTCTTCTTATTCCTTCTCATTAAAGTTAGAGATTTTATAGTATTCTGGTCCAGACAACCATTTTGAATTCTAATTTCTTCTATATATCTTACCATATGGCATTTCACTCAATATCTGAACGCTTCTGTGACAAGAAAATTATCACCATATACCATCTTATATAGGAAATGTTTGGACATACAGTGGGTAATTAATAAATATTCTATTAAAGTAACATTAAAAGCTTTTAAGATAGCATCACCATCATTTCTCCAACTATAAATGACAGAAGCTGAAAAAACTATTCTGATCCTACTGCTAAGTGGACAAGTTAGGGTTGAGTGAATATTCTATTTTAAAAATCTGCATCCCTTTCACATCTGTAGTATTTACATTGATGAGCGCTCAAAAGGGGCTACTTATGGACTCAACAGTAACTATAGTTTAAAGGAAGGTTATCAATGAAACTATTTTTAAAAATCATTTCAGTAACTAGCTTAGCAGTCCCTACTTAAAATTTATAAGCAGTTAAAATTAAGCTTTAACAATTTTACTTTATTACCTCATCTGATTCAAAATTGACCCCTTTACTTTTTTGGCTCTGGGACATGCATTTGCTTGATGATGATGACGTGTTCGACCACCTGAGGTAAAAACAAGAAAAAAATAAAGAAAATGAACCAGAGAATTCAACAAAGGTGCCCTTCTAAGTTTTTCATTCTAATAGTAGCTATGAATAAAAATAACTAACATATTCCCTTCAATCTACATTAGAAGCAGCAAGAAGTTAATGGTGAGGAAAAAGACTCTGGGTCTGAATTCCAGTTTTGGTATTTACTAGCTGTGTGGCTTTAGGAAAGTTACTTGGCCCCTCTGTGCCTCAATTTTCTCTACTGTAAAATGAGGCTGAGAATAATTTTTTAAAGATTAAATGTGTCAATATATTTCAACACTTAGAGATCAGTACCTAACACATATATTAGCACTACACAGATGCTTACTTATATTATTATTATAGTGTCTACTATCATCCCCCACTCCTACAAATTGTGGCAACACTGAAATGTTTTTCTATCCAAATCTCAGTTATGTTTCTGTAATAGACAAAAGTTATCTTCCGAAAGGCTCTCTCCACTTTCTAGGGTTGCCTCACTGTTTGCGTTATTCGTGTTCAATCCAAATCAAATAGCAAATATTTACGGAGTGCTCTGCTCCTTGCCAAATACTATGATAGGCCCTGGAAAATATCAATGAACAAGAAAATTGTGATTCCTACCTGTGTGAAGCTTAACTTATGGAAATGGAACTGATATTCCTGTCTTTTTATTAATAAAAATTTTAAGTCTATCTTAGATCAGAGGCCAGCAAACTATAGCTAGGTGGACCAAATGCAACCTGCCTGTGTTTAAGGACCTGTGAGCTAAGAATGTTCACATTTTAAAATGGTTACATTTTAAATAGTTATATAAGTACACACATAATATCCTTGATTTTGCCTCTTGGTCTTCAAAGCCTAAATTATTTACCAATTGGCCATTTAAGAAAAAGTTTGCCAACTCTTATCTCAAACGAAAACAGTGTTTGTGAATTCTTGGCCAACTCTGGGATACTTCAGATGTTATTACAGCAAAAGAAATAGGTCTGGTCTTTTCTAGACAAAAAGGTTGAGAATCAAGAGGTATTATGTCAGAAGGAAACAAATGTCCACAGGTTCTTATATACAAAAGGAAGTGACAGGAGGATTTGTCAAGCAACATAGATTTAGAGGTAGAGGACCAAGGAATTTATCAATCGATCCATCTGGGGAGGTTCCATCTCTCTATACTTAACCAAAGCTGGAACTGGTCAATTGTTGACTTGTTTCCATCTGTGCCAACAAGAAGCAGATCATCAAAAGCAGAAAGCCACAGTACTAAGGTGGCAGTTAGGTTAAAGCATTGTTGTTGGAGGTTTGGGAAAAGGTGGAGGGTTATGGAAAGAAATATATATTAAGACCTGACTCTGCTTTCTGATGTCTCCCCAGACAAATAACTGATGGGGCCTAGAAACTAGCCAGGCATCTATGATAAACACTGGCTCATTTGATCAAAGGAAAAGCACTAATTCTTCATCAGAAGACCCCCACAGACCCAGAGATCTCATCTGTGACAGGTCTATCATCCTCAGAAATCAATGGTGGGAAGGGAAAAAAAAAATGGTTATACTGTTTTGACGTCTGGGCTGAAGAAATGAGCTTTTGTCCAGGGTGTCAAAAAGTGTTTGGTTTGATTAGCCTCATATGGATGGCTCAAAATAAGGGGGTGGAGGATATCAAATTGAGAGCCAGGAGCTGTAAGTTTTCACGATTTTTGTTCAGATGTAATTTAGAGCCATAAGTGAAAATTCCTATCTGGAGATATTCAGCGAATAAGTCAGCTGTAGCAGTGTTATAAGCATAAGAAAACATGTTAAATTGACCTTAGGCTGTGCCTGGCACAGAAAAGGTACCCCCAAAACGTTAGTTCCCCCCACTGCAAGGCGTGATAGAATGCTCTGTCTTTCCTCCTCCATCTGGCCAGACTGAGCCAGGCCTTCTCTCGCTTGCTGCTTTACAGAGAGGTGATTATTATCTGTCAGCTCTGTCAAATCTGGAAGGGTCCTCTTATTTCCAGTACAGCAAAGGTAGAGTTTGGAACAATTTTTCTAGGGAAAAATAGGCTTTCCATTGCCCATCTGGCAGAAGGAATTTTTACAGCTGGAAGTTTTTCCTTTTTAAACTTAACTGCCAGGAATATTAGTGCATATCATTCTCCCTTCCACTCTTGTTCTATTTCCCTAGCCTGTTATTTAATTTATTTAATAAGCACTTAAATAGCTGTTACTATGTGCCAGGCCCTATACTTAGCATTTTATAAACGTTACCTCATTTAAGCCTCACAACAACACTTTGAGGTAAATGTTACCTTTATTTTACAATGAGGGACACTAAAGAACAGAAAAATTAAAAAACTTGCATAAGGACCATACCTAGTAAGTGGCAGAGCTTAAGTACTTTAAATTTTAAGTGAAATAACCATAGAAATCATGCCATTACTAAATAATTCTTTAAAAAAAAAAGAGCCTAATTTGCCTTATTCAGATGCTGTCATCAGAAACACAAATCTGCCAAGGCTGAATCAGATTTCTTGCCAAAATGTTAATTTCTAAATTGCCTCTCATCATTTAAATGATTCTTATTGCTTGCACAATGGTCCGAGAACTTAATCTATTATGTTAAGAAGCAACAGCAGAGACAGAGTGAAGCAGACTGCCTGGCTCTGTGACCAGTTAGGTGACCTTAAGTAAGTTACTTAGACCACCCTCCTCACTGTCTTCAAAGGCAAAATGGGGATAATATAGTTATATATACTATATTTACTTCGTGGGGTGGTTGTGAGCCCTAAACAAGCTAATTCATATGTAAAGCCTCAAAACACTACCTGACAGATAAGAGTTTTAAACAATTTAGTTATTTTTATGACCTCATGAGTAAATAAGAAGTCAAAGGACATTTATTCTACTGAAAAGGAGATATCCCAAAATGCTAACAAAATCAAGATATATTTAAGGCTATTAAAGAAATATGTCAAACATACAAAAAATAGTATTCTCATTAGTTCTAATAACAAAAAATAAGGACCTAATTCAAGCTGAACTTCTATATTCCTCTCAACTATTGAGGCTCTACTAAAAAACAAAAACAAAAAGCTAGAACTGCTTCTGTTTGCGTGTTTTTTAATTTATAAAGACAAGAACAACCAAACAAGTACTCAGAAAGGGACTGTTTTCTATCGATGGATTGAGATATTCTGATATTCTTCCAATAAATCTTCTTTTCCCTAAGAAAATTTGAATTAAGTTTCTATCAGCTGGAACCAAAGGAGTCCTGTTTAATACATGGAACTCAAGCCTGTGATATTCAGGTAAATCTTCATATGAATTAATGGCCTCAAATATCTTCGACTACCTACCACAAATATACAAATTGATCTACACCTAAGCTCATCTTGGTATTTTTCACTCCTTTTCCAAAGGCCAGCATTGGCTTCAGCAACTCTATACTCTCCCAGGTTTTTCTCTTGTCTTTCTTGTTGTCTTTTCTACTTCACCTAAGCTCTAAAGAATGAAACCCAAGGATCAGAACGTAAGCCGTCTTTTCTCTCCACCTTCTCTTTCCAGGTGATTGATCCATTCCCATGGCTTTAAGTATCAGTTACATGCTGTTGAGAAGTAAATTTAGGCATCATTCAAATCTCTCATCTGAGCTCTAGACTCACCAATCACCTAAAACCTCCCTTCGTGTAAATTTCACAGGCATCTCAAACATTTCACATTGAAAGTAGAACTTTTATCTGCCTATTATTCCCTACAAAAAACGGTTTCTCTTCCTGTATGTCTTTCTCAGGGTATGGCACTAAGTGCTCGAGCAAGAAACCCGACAATCAACAATGATCCTGCCCCCTCATTCTCCCTCACTTCAAATACTCAATCCATCCCCAACTTCTGCCACGTCTGCCTGAAAACATATCTTGAAACACTCGATTCTCTCCATTTCCCAGCTACTACTCTGGTGCAAGTCTCCATCGTCTCTCTCACCTGGACTACCTATTTACAGTCCCTTTCGGGTCAGCCTGTCCCACTCCTGTCCTCCTGCACCACAGGGATCCTTATAAATATAAATCAAATGGTGCCATTACTCTCAAAATCATTCCCTGGCTTCCCTCTGCGTTTATAATAAAGTCCAAATTCCTTGTTCTGCTAACCTGTCCCTGCTTCAAGATGTGCTCCGACCTCTCTTCTATTCTCATCTCAAACCACCCCCTTTCCCGCCTCACTTTATTCGCTGGCTCCTAAACTGCGGCAAGCTTGTTTCTTCCTCAGGAAACTCTGCAAGGGCTTTTCCCGGATTTGTGCAGGGTCAAGTCTGTCTTAATAACATTTCAGCTTAAATGTAATCTCCTCAGGGGCTTTCCCTGATCATCCTTTCAAAGCAGATATCCGTGGCCTGTGACCTTACTCTTTGTTGCTGCACTCTGATGTCCTTCGAGCATTCTTACACATCTGTTATCATCGGCTCAAATGTTACCTACTTTCTTTGTAAACCCTTCAATGACCTATCCTAGAAAACATTGGCACTTCCCTTAGATTTCACCACATTCAAATAAAACATTTATCTTGGTGGGTTATTAGTGCTGTGATCAGCATACCATTAAAGTGTAAATTCCTGGGAGGAAGGAGACATTTCTTTCATATTTCTATCCCTAGCTCCTACATAATGTTTACCTGAATATGGAACTATCCTTACCAATTGTTCTAACATAGACTCTTAATTCATATAAAGTATATATTCTCAATGGGGGTCAATATCGTACCCGAGAAACAAAAAACAGGGGGTGGGATGGGTGAAAAATCTTAAGATATTACAATGGTTTTTGGCACTCCCAAGCTTGATCTTACCCAACAAAATTTCATTCTTTACCATTTACTTTCTAAATTAAAGTCATTTTAATTAATTTAAATCAAATTTAATTTTTATCCTTGGGTAATGAAAAAGGTTGAGACCATAAAAAAAGTTTGAGAAACAATGAGATAGCGCTTTTCCCTCAATCTCACCCTTATTTCTCTAACTTCTGCTCATATCATTTCTCTCAACTGTCACTCTCCACGCGCTAATCCAAATAATTCCTATCTTTAAAATCTCAGGTAAATTTTACTACAGTATAAAGCTTTTTCTTCTATGAGAGAGCCCATACTTCTTGCTCCTTTTTCTGTGGGCCTATAAGCACGCAAACCTAGTTTGTATCACAAAATTTCACACATAATTATGTACTGACTCAATCATCCCTTAATGGATTGAAATGTGTTCATCTCTTCCATTATAATTTATGTTGCCTGAAGGCAGTAACCATTTTAAAACATTTATTATGTCCCCCATTAGACCTAATATAATGCTCACACAGAAAATAAGTATGAAAAAAAAGTGCTTGATTATTTTCTTAAGTAGAAATTTTCATTAACTGAGCTTTAGTTAAGCAGTATTCATCTAAAATGTTAATACAGAAAAGAAAATGGTAATAATGAATCAAGACAAGCCACAAAGTAATAGACAAAAACCAAAAAGGACAGAAAAAGCATGTAAGTACTTTGAAGGCAGAGAATGTCAATATGATCCTCTTTTTAGCACCCTGTATAATTTAGTATATAAAAATATGATGATCAAGAGAAGCTGAAATCAAGTATTAACAAACTACAAAACTATTTTCTGTTAATTGGAGAGAACATAGTATTCCATCAAGAAAATCATCAGGTAATAAAGACAAAAGGAAATGATTACAGGTTATTTAAATTTTCAAAGAAAATATTTGCAATTATGCTGTATTGATTCTATGAAGTAGTACTTGGTCTATTTTTCACTTCTCTACTTACTTGACTAGTTGAAAATAAGCCTCCTAACCATCTGAGGCATAGAAAGATGTTGAAGCAGAATTCTGGATAATTTTTAATTTTTTCAAATGTTTCTTTTTATAGGAAGTCACTGTACTTACCTTTGATCTGTTTTTGAAGTGGTAGGAAAAATGTCTTCTTCCACATCTGATTCATCTACCTCAATCACCTAAAGGAATAAAAAGACAAAACAGCAAATAGTTTTTACAGAAATAGAACATTTAAATAAAAATGAATTAAATAACTGAATCTGAGGTTTTTTTAATATACCAAAAAATAATAAATAAATAAAAGTCACAAAAAGGAGGCAGAAACCATGTAAGCAGCATCTATTTAAACTAAAGCTTCCTCTATTTACTTTCAGATCAATTAGATAATTCATAACGCAGAAAACATCAATTATTAAAACAACTATAAAACTTTTTTTCTTACCTCCGAATAACTCTTAGTAGTAACATTTTGAGAAGGCTGCTGTCTCGCAGATCCAAAGGCTATAATGAAAAAGATAAAATAGCCATTATTTTGTTCTTAAAATAACTTAGAAAAATTTGCACATTTCTTTAGCTGAAGATTTCCTAAGTCCTACCTGCAAAAACTCATGATGACTAATTATAAAACCATTTGTATTTTTTACAATCTAAAGGGAGGTGCCATTCTACGTTCAAATAAATCAAAGCCTATCTGCAAGTTTCATATGATTTCTTGGCTAATTCAAATATAGTTACAAGCCATGTTCATAAATACACTTATACAGAAGGATAAAATCTGATCACCTGAGGGACTGAACTCCTAATATACTGAGGGTAACCTTCCTACGGTGTTCCTTCTCTTACAGTGGGCAATTCCCTCCCTATGGCTATGTTAGGAGCCAATATGAGCTTTCTTATTCTCCCCTATTTTGTTAACCATATTCGGTACCTAAGAAATAGTCTAGAGGCAAATTCTGGAAACGCGGCATATCTGATAAAATTTTTGAACCCTTACTTTTTAAACTTTACAGACTTGGTTAGAAACATGAAATTCAGTTAACCATTTATTTTTCCTGAGCCCAAAACTGTGATATTATGATTTTATAATAAGAAACAGATATTTGGTCTTTGTCTCAATTTCTGGCACAGAGCTCCTAAAACTCTCTAAATTTCTGAAGTGATGAAACCCATAAAGGCATCTTTTGTTATGTTAATACAGTGACTTTAGGAAAGTAGGGGCAGATTACCAGGGGATCAGTCTCATTCTGATTTCTGGGGAGGGGAGGGACTGGAGGTTAAATCAATCACCAAAGTAAATGAACAAACAAAACAGAAACAGACTGATTGATACAGAGAACAAATTGATGGTTGCCAGATGGGAAGGGGCTTGGGAGCCAGGTGAAAAAGGTGAAGGGATCAAGAAGTACAAATTAATTGGTAGTTACAAAAGTCACGAGGATATAAAGTACAGCATAGGGAATATCGTCAATAATACTGCAATAACTGTGTATGGTCAGGTGGATACCAGACTTATCAGGCGGATCACTTCACAAATTTTATAAATGTCTAACCACTATGCTGTATACCAGAAAGTAATATTGAATGTCAACTGTAATTGAAAAAAAAATTATTAGAATCTTCCTCACCAAATAAAGTACCCATGGCCAAAGATTTAATCAATTGTGTCTGTGTTATGAAGCCTCCATATAAACCCAAAAGGAAGAGGTTTGAGGAGCTTCCAGATGGGAGAACCACAACACTTCCATCATGTCAGGCCCCAGACTCCTGAGGAGACAAGCTTCTTCTTTATGTATCTTTTCGTCTGGCTGTGGATTCGTATCCTTTAATATCCTTTGTAATAAACCAGTAATCTAGTTTTCCTGAGTTCCGTGAGCTGCCCCAGCAAACTAATCTAAGCCAAGGAGGGGGTCGTAGGAACTTCTGATTTACAGCCAGTTGGTCAAAACCACTCACTCACTGGTCACAACCTGGATTCAGACTGGCATCTGAAGCAGAGGGGAGCAGTCTTGTGGGATTGAGACCTTAACCTGAGGAACCTGACACTGTCTCTGGGTGGAAAATGTTAAAACTAAGTTAAACTGTAGGGCTCTTGGCTGGTGTCCCAGAGAACTGCTTGGTGGTGTGGGGACCGCACGCCCCACCCCTTCCCCCACCCTGCGCCGACCCCTGCCCTCCACACACACATACACACTTTGGAATTGGGTGCAGAATATTAAAAATCTGGAATAAATTTCAAACAGCCAATCAGAGGTTTATTTTCTCCCAAGCATTACCAGTTTCCTAACATTAAAAAATGTCTCCCCAAGACAACCCCCAACAGGGCAAGAGGAGAAAAAAGAGACAAGAGGACTTGAAAAGTTAAATACTCAAAGAATTTCATAAAGTTCAAAATTCTCCTAGTCAGAAAACTCAGAATCTTTCTACCTCGCCTAAATTTATGATCTGCTCATTTTTTCCTACTCCAGGTTCCACCCCCAATTTGTGATGTCCACCTGGGAAGACAAAGGGCAGAGGCAGCATTCTTGTCAATTAGTGGCCTCACATCCTACTCTACTTCCATTTAAAAGGCTGGACAGGGCAACTGGGTAACAAAGCCAGTCATCATGACTCTTTTTTTGAGGTGATATTTCCTGTGATTTTAATTTGCATTTCCCTGATGATTAATGATGCTGAGCATCTTTATGTGTATTTGTATTGGGGTACATTTTACATGCAGTGATAGTCACCCTTTGTAATCATACAATTTTATGAATTTTGGCCAAACTTTACAGTTGCATAACCGCTTGAAAATCGAGATAGGGAATATTCCTTTCATGCCAAAAAGTTCTCAAGTGCCCCTTTGTGGCCAATTCCCTCACCCACCTCTAATTCCTGGCAATGACTGGCATAATTTCTTTCTCTGTAGTTTGGCCTTTGTCATATAAATGGAATCATACAGTATGCTACCTTTTGAGTCTGGCTTCTCTTACTTGGCATAATACTTTTGAGAGTCATTCATTCATGTTGCTGCATGTATAAGTAGTTTGTTCCTTTTTACTGCTGAGTCCTATTCTATTTTATGAATGCACCAGAACTTGTTAACCAATTCACCAGTTGCTGGACAACATTTAGGTTGTTTCCTGTTTGGGAAAGAGAACATCCTGACTCTTTAAAAAGAATATTTCTGCTTAATAGTTATTCACTAATTGACTCCTCAAACTTTAGATCCTTGAAAAGAAGAGCTCTCCTTTCTTTTTATCCCCAGTGGATAGCAAACAATAAATAAATTCACATAATTAATGTTATCAGAAAAGAAGCACTGAATTTTGTTAGGAAGGCAATACAGTATGGTGGTTAAGAACTGTCTCGTAGAATGAGACTTATTTTGACTTACAAGCTGGGTGACTATAGCCAAGTTCTTTTGGCTTAAGTCTCGGTTTCCTCACCTGTAATATAGTGTTAATACTACTTCATGCAGAAATTCGTTCAAACGATAAAGAGGTAGTTAATGTAAATTGCTTTGGCAAATGCACAGACGTCGTAGCATTACTAACTACAAAAAATGTAGCTAGTAATAGTAGGGGTAAATGTATTAGCAGCAGTGGTAACCACTATGGTAAAGTGTAAAGGCAAAGGCTTCAAAGCTATTTTTTATTTGTTTTAGTCATCATCCTCTGCAGATGAACTTCAATGGAAAATTCCAGGCTGTCACCTTTTATATACAGCCTCTGCTAGCTTTAAACATAATACCTAGCTTTCCCAACAATATCCAGTACAATAACGAATCTCTATACTCCATGGAGCTTGTTATTACAGAATCTGACCATTATCTCCATTTACAGTAGGGATCTAGCAGTTATATTTTTAAAGTTGCTTTTGTCCCAAAGTCATGTTAACTATAGTTAATACCCCATGGTTATTCTGTCAGCGACTTAAACACCAAATCTAACCTGATAAAAATGTACACATATGTATAAAAAGTCAATTTCATTTTTCAAAAAAAGGCCCAATGTTGGAGGTAATCAGTTAAACTGAAAAACCACTAGACTGAATCAATTACATAAAAGACAAATTGAAACTATAAAACATCCATTTTCATAAGTTACTGTAAACATTGCCACTAACTCCAACAGCAGCAATCCTTTCTTTGATTCTTACTAAGTGCTATATTCAGTAACGTATGTTCATAAGTTTATTTAATACTTCTAACTATTCTGTGAAGTCAGTACTACATTGCCAATTTTATAAGTAAGGGAGCTGAAGCTTATAGAATAATAGTTTACATTTACTGGAGCTTAATATGTACAAATACTGTGCCAGGTATTTCACATGCATTTTCTCATGAATCCTCAAAATAACCCATAAAATGCAACCATTATCCCATCTGACAGATGAGGACACTGAAGCTTAGAGTTGGAAAGCTTAATTAATCTGTTAGGGAACACACAGCTAGTAAATCGAGGAATCAGAATTCAAACCAAGGTCTGTCTGACTTTAGAACCACATTTTTAACCTTTATGATACACGATCTCTAAGTAATTTTTATTCAGCCATTCTCAAGTACTTAATGAACATATACTGTGTGCCAGGCACTGTAGATACCATGATGATCAAAATAGTGCAATCCCTTTCACCAGGTACTTATAGTGCAAGGGCACCAAGCCGGGGGAGAAAGAGCTGGCCGGCCACACCAGATGTGACTCATGACTCTAGAGCATGAGTTCTTAACCATCCATTGTAAAAAGTACTGCAATAAGATTTTTGCCTGGAACATAATTCAGGAAATCCTAAGTTTCATATTAATTTGGCTTACTTACATAGCCTCTTTTTACAAATGAATATAATTACTTAAAAAAATGTTTAGTCATGCCTATCTGTGAAAATTCTAAAGCACTACAACGGGTCTCTTGTTTTCTTCACAAATAGAAGCTTTCTTCCACATTATCAATGGGTGACAGAGCAGGAATCACTAAAGAGCGTCTTTTAAAGTTTCACTGGCATAGTGGTTTCTGAAAGGACCTGATGTTAAAAAGTAAAAGAAATGTTCACAAAACCCCTAGAGACATAGAGTTCTAGTTGCAAAAAAGGCAACCAGGATGAATTTTAAATACAGAAAAAAAACAACTCTGTACCTGTTCCTTGTAAGTTAGATTATTCAAACACTTCTGCTGAAAACAACCCAAATTACCAAACCAAACATTAAAAAGAAAATCTTAATGGCACTGAAGAGTTAATCACATAGTAAAGAACAAACAGACCAAAACCGAAGAAAAGCTAGAATTCAAAGAGGCTAGTATAGTAGAGGCATTTTCCCTAAGGATACCAGTTGATGCAGGCAAATGTTAGCAATGGTTTTGACAGTTCTGTAGGAAGACGCAGAGAGCTACCATAGTCTGAGACTGTTCAAGGTGGGGAGCCTGATGCATTTCCACCCTACATTAAGTTGGGACATCAAAGCTTAAGGGGAGAAGCAGACACAAACAGGATTTTACAAATACATATCACCTGACTGGCACACAGGTATAAATTTAAGGTGGCACACAGGAATAAATTTAAGGTGGTCTAAGACTAGTGGTGCCCCTAGAAGCCTGGGAAAACAAATGTGAATCTTCTCTGGAGGAAGATATCTTCATCCAAGATCTCAAATTATTCGTACTGCTGGTTTTGGGGGGACAACAGATAACAGCATACAAGAAAACAAGTTACCATACATGAGAAGCGACAGAATCAAAAACAGCAATAGAAAAGGCCGAAGACATTCAGATACTGGGTTGTTAGATACAGAATACAAAAAGAAAAAAAATCCTTACTGTGCATTTAAAAAGAACCAAAAAGAATTTCAACCCTCCCTTCCCCACAAAAAAAGAAAATTAAAAATTTAACGGACAGTTTTAAGAACAGATGAGTGAACTGGAAGACTGATCAGAAATAATTACTCAGAACATAACACAGGGAAATAAAACAACAGAAAATACAAGAAAGGTTAAGAATCATAAAAAGAAAGAGTTAAAAGGTCATATATATTTATTTAACTGAAGACCCAAAAAGGAGAAAAAGAACAGTATAGAGGTAATACCTAAGGGCATAACAGCTAAGGATTTTCTAGTAACGATGAAAGACCAATCCACAGTTCATGACACCTAATAAATCCTAAGCGGGATGGAAAAAAAAAAAAAAATCCCATTATCTAGACTCATTATAGTGAAACTGCAGAACACCAAGACAGCCAGCTGGAAGAAAAACAGACTCAAAAAAAAGGCAACAAGTTTATCTGCTTTCTTAGCAATAGCAATAGAAACCAGAAGACTCATTTTAAATGATTAATTCTACCTACTGATATCAAATTAAAACATGAGTGGGCTAAGGTAAAGGTGGGTAATTTATAACACCTATGCCTCTGTGTTGCATGCTAACCAACTTTTGGTGGTTTAACATGAAACTGTTCATATTTCATTCACTCTTCTAATTCCCTCTGCTTTCGCTTTTTTTATAATAGCAGTAACAGTTCATAAATGCCTACCACGTGCCAGGTTTTTTGCTTTTACTTTTCAGAATAACCCAATGTGGCAGGGATTATTACTCCCAATGTACATGTAAACAAACCCGAAGAGTGAGTGACCTGTCCAAAGTCACAAGGCTTTTATGTGGTGAACTCAGCCTAGATATTTTCCCATCCTATCTCTTCTCTTTCTCCTTCACTGCTTTTATCTTAGACCTGCCAAGAAGAGAACAGATGCCATTTCCTCATTGGCAACAAAGACAATATGCTTCTAAAGTCAAAAGACCAGGATCTCAGCTAGCTCTCTTTAAGTACTGAATAATCCTTAAGTGAAAATACAGCAACAGAATTTCTGATAGGAAGGTTCCTTAATTGTCTTTTAATGGATCTGTTGATTATATCCTTTTTCCAGGTTCTGCTATCATCCAACGAACGCTGAAAATTTCCTTTAATAGGGTCACAACTCACCTCCATCTGAGGCAGCTTGCTCCATCTTTATATTAAGAACCAGCAGCTAGGTCTCTAATCTTATCTTCCTCTAGCAACTAGTATAGTGGTTAACTACTGGCTCTGGAGTCTAGAAATGTTGGAATCAATCCACAAGCTCTAGAATTTACTAGTTGTGAGACCCTGAGTAAACTGCCTATCTTTTCAAAGCCTCAGGTCCCTTTTTAGTAAAACAAGGATCATTTAAATACCTACGCCACAGAGCTATTGAGAGGCATGCAGCAACTGTTCCAGAAATATTAGCTATTATTAGTACTATCAGTGGTTTTATCAACCTAGGGCAAATTGTTTAGCTCATTTCCCTCATCTACAAATGAGGGAGTAGGCGAAGCTGTTCTTTTATTTATGTATATATAAATAAAACGAGTGATTATATATAATTTATATCCTTCTTGAAACAGTTCCAAAGGTGAACACGGTATTCTTGGCATGATGCATCCAATTCAGTACAGAGAACTTCCTTGCTATAGAGATGCACAACCTCTATTAATAATACTTAAGACACCACTAGATTTGGACAGGTAGGTCAACCTGCACGACTCTTACTGACCTAAGTCTTTTTTACTTGGGTCGCTGCTATGTCGCATGCCTCTCAGAACTCTTCTTGTAAAGCTGACCTTTTGGACATATATGCATTTTATATTTATCCTTGATAAATTTCATATTGTGAGATTTAGTCCAACTCTTTAATGTCAAAATTAATCCTAGCTATAAAAGTTACCTCAGATAATAAGATAATGTAAACAAAATACATATGTATGGATATCTGAATACTAGGTAAAAAAAAAAATCACTACTCATTTTAACATATATTTTCATAAATCTGACTAACAACTTTGGCTGTTCTCATAAACCATACTATTTAACATTGTTTATTAAATTTTTATATTAAATTATTACTACAGATCATTTATAAAAATAGATCCCCTTAGTTTGAGGACAATTTTTAGACCACAAAATTTTAACTCAAAGAACCCTAACCATAATTTCCCTTAAATACAGCTCACATGACTTCTCTATACTAACAGTAGGAGTGAGGAAAGAAAGTAAACAACACATTAAGAAGCAGTTCCTTATCTCGCGATCAGTGTTGATTTACTGACCAATTGCCTTTTCAATGTCAGTGATCTCTGTAAAAGAGAAATAGATTGGTCTAAAAGTTAATTTCTAAAGCTCAGTTTCTGTAAGAGCACCAATAAATGGCAAAAATCTTTTAAATCACAGCATAATTTATCCTGTGATTCTATAAATGCTTTTGATGGCAACACAAACCAATGAGGTTTATTAATGGGGTTTCCTAGGTCTTTTTGTGTTGGAATTTACAAATAACTGCTAGATAATCATTTGCAGTCTATACTCACCATCTATAATAGACATATTTCTAGATGTTGACATAGTGGCCTTTGAACTTCTGCTTCGAGTAGAAGTTTCTGCACCGGTGCCTGCTGTTAGAATAATGAGCGGTCAATATACAAACCCATTAGTAGCTAGGTTTTTTTAAAAATAACACCAAAATGAAATCTAAATAAAGTTATGTCAAAACATAGTTTATGTGTAAAAAGCCAAAGATATATATATAAAAAGAACTATCTAGTCTGATCAATCAATTAGGCTGCATTTGGTTCATACTGTTCCAATTAAAATTAAGGAAAAATTTCATAAATGTAAGGGTAATAAAAATAATTATCATTAGAAAATGAGAATTACCTTCCTTGGAGATTTTTAGCTAAGGTACTATCTATTTTACTATCTTAAAATTCCTATGGAAAAATATATAATAAAAATAATCTTAAAATGTTCCTACGGATTGATTTATATAATGCATCAGGAAGTCACCGGATGACTATTTTCTATTGTTTAGACTATTTAATAACAATAGTGTCACATTAAATACAATGATGGCAATTAATGTTACTAATTGTTTTAAGAAATCAAATTGTTTTGGGTGGCTTTTCTTTTCAAACAAATGTTATGAAGCCCCTTTATAAGAATGTGGGCATCTGTATGATAGTAACAAAACTAATTTTTATGATCTGGAGTTTTCTTCCTGCTGCCAGCGGATATTAGCTAGCCATTTTCCTCAAAAGCTCATATTTACCTCATTACTTTGTACATGTAAGAGTAAATAAGACATTAAACATACCCAAAAGGTACTGTGTGAAAAAAATACATATTAAGAGCAATTAAGACCCTGTGTGCATGCAGCCATTCAAAATTCATGTACATATCAGAACTACATTAAAGACTGACTTTATGCATTATAAAAATAAAAGTTTAAAGAACAATTCTGTACTTCCCACTCAATGGCCAAGTCTGAATGTGTGCAAAAGACCATACTCAGTGCTGACCTCTTCCTCTTTGAGATCCTCCTCTGGACACTGAATTCTGCCCTCTTCCTCCTCTTCGGCCCCTTCCTCGGCCTCTTCCTTTGTTGTCTGCTGCTGAAATGCTACTATCCGAGTCATCAGCCATCTGTTCTGCCATATCTATACTCATAAGGTCATTAGCACTAAAGGCAGAAGCGGAGTCCTCTGACTGAGATCTCAGGGCTCTGGCCCTAGTCATGGCCTGAGAGGAATAACAAGAAGAAAGTACATACTAGTAGGTAATGCAACACCCTAAAAGTCATTAGTCTGGTCATTCAGATGAACATTTAATATTGTCAAATTGTCTAAACTGTTTTTTCACTAATTGTGCTATAAAAATGTAAAACAGGATAACCTCCCTCCTCCATCAAATTCAGTGCCTATGATTTGTGAGATCAATTTACAATACTACTTGTAAAATGAGACCTTCTGAAGAAGTTTACCGAGAAATATAAAATTTCACAGAATCAGAACTTTCAGAACTGGGAGAAATACTGGTAATTACTCCCAATTCAATACCGCCATTTCTAAGAGACTGTCACCATTTGAGCAACTTTGTACAATGGGCTCTTAATAAATAAGAAAAATAAGACCTACAAAAAAAAAACAGCTGTTATCTCTGGGGGATGAAATTTTAGGGCATTTTTGGTTTTTTCATTCTTAAATATTAAAAATTTTCTACAATATACTTTTTCAAAATATTACTTCTGTAATCAGAAAAACATGAGCAATAATCTCATAAATGTATAATCAAAAGAATTAAGTAAAATACAGCAACTGAAGGCCAGGAATAAAAACCTTAGGATGAAGAGAATATGCCATAAATTTTATTTTGATAAGAAACTGACTACAAAAGACAAGTTTGAAATTTAATGAAATGTTTTGATTAACTCTGAAATGAATACAGATTTTCTGATTACAAACAGAATAAAAGCAATGCTGACCTCATCTCTTCCCATAAACCAATCAAAATGAAACACAGAGAACAAAAATGAAACACAATATCTTTTCAATTAAACTAGAAAACACCGCAAACCCCCAAACACAAAATCTACGAAGAGTTACTGGATATAGTGCATCTTTGACATGGCTAAGGAAGAAAGTTGAGAAGACTTTCGGGCAGTGTAGAGCTACCCAAAATTCATCTATATCAAGTGGCCATGACAATAGTCTTTCTTGCTTGGAATGATAAATTCTGGGTCTTCTTAGATCATTTCTAAGCTCTCTGTGATGCCATGAGATAAGGTGATGAAATGAGGAGATGAGAAAAAAGCAGGCAGGGTAGAAATAGGAATGAAGTGGGTAGTGAGAGGTGGGAAGTAATCTAGCTTCATAATGATGATCTGAGCTGAAGCAAAATACAGCTAAAACCATTAATGAAGGGCTCAACATGGCATTACAATGCAAAAACAAACAAACAAAAACCAAACACTAAGGAATACAACAAAAAAATATTTTTAAAATAGCAGAAAAAGATTTCAAGTCATCTTTCTTGTTCCAGATTAAGTACAATCAATCTTTATTATTCTTGGATTTCATATTTGCAAATTCACCTACTTGCCAAAATTTATTTGTAACTCCAAATACAACACTCCTGATACTTTCATGGTCATTCATGAACTTGTATAAAGTAGTGAAAATTCTGAGTCGTCTGACACACACATTACACATATAAAGTCAAACAATGCAACAAAGCCTTTTCATAGCATATTTTAGTGTCTCATTTTGGTTAGCGATTTTACATTTTAAATGCCCGCCCCCTGCCGGTGAACAGCTGAAATGCTGTCTGTGTGCCCAAGTGCAAGAAGACTGTTATATGCCTTACAAAAAAAATACATATTGTTAGATAAGTTTCATCCAGGCATGAGTTACAGGGCTGTTGGCCAGAAGTTCAATGTTAACAAATCAAGAATGTATATCAAATAAGGTATCTTTAAACAGAAACACACATGAAAAAGGTTATATACTGATCAGGTGAAAAAAATGTTATAAACATTGGCTGGCAGGAACCTAATTCTGTATTTCCCGAGAAGCAATGGTTCAGTGTTCACTAATTCAGTATTTACAGTGACTCTGTAGAACATAACTACCACGAGTAACTAGAACCAGCTGCTGTACATCAGGGGAAAAAAAAGTAGATTTAAAAGAAAAAAGGAGACCTAAATTACATAATTAATAAGCTAGATCTAACTGCTGCATGTTAAACTCCAAAAATAAGTAATATGGTCTTTTCAAGAACCCATGAAATGTTTTAAGTGATATACAATGGGGGGCTTACTAAGAAAAATATTAATAAATTCTAAATAGTACAGAGTATTATACTACCTAATCATCATGTAATAAAATTAGAATAGTAAAACAAAAACTCTGACTCCAAACTATAAAATAAAATTAGAACTGTAGAATATCTAGAAAATGATAATAAAAATATTGCATATAGAACATATAAAGCAAAGCAATGAATTAAATTAAAACAAAAAGTTAGAATGGAGAGGAAAAAAGATCCAAGAAAAATTAAAAGAATCATGATAAATATTCTGCTTAAGTCTAAGTAATTTGGAAAATAAATGACCTACACTGAGTCAAGAAAAGACAATCTCAACAGACTATCAAAGGAAATTTTGATAAAAATTGTTAAAAGAACTACACTCCCAAAAAGGACAACTAGAAAATCTCACAGGTAAATTCTACCAACTCTTCAAAAAAACAACTAATTCTACTGCTATTTCGATAGTACCAGAGCATAAAAAAGGTTTCCATTTTTTTCTTTATAAAGCCAGCAGAACATGGTACTAAAAACTGAAAAGGAATTATATGCACAAAAATAAAATTACAGTATCTTACTTATGAATATTAAAGCACACAACGAATCCATGAGCATGTGAAAAGACCAGTATACCTGTAACCAGGAGATTCACAAAGTGATACTGAGGATGGGCCAATATTAAGATATGTGTTAATATTAATAATTCACCATATTAACAGAACATAGGAGGAAAAACCCCTCATGCTTATCTCCATAGATGCTAAAAAGGCATTTAATTCGTCACCCATTCTGGATTTAAACAAAGAATCCTTAGGAATAGGCAGATATTTCTTATATGACGAAAACTCTAAATATGCTACACACATAAACACAGTGTGTGCACACTTTCACATGAGTGTTCTTATAAATCAATTAGAAGAAGACCAATGCCTTAGACAAAAAAGAAAAAAAGAAAAAAAAGAAAAAAATTTTCTGGGCAAAGAACATGACCAGGTGTTTCATGCAAATGATTTATAAACATAAAAACTGTTCAGACTCTAGAATAAAAGTAGTATGAATTAAAAACAACAACAAGAAATAATTTCTCACCCCTTAGATCAAAAGAGGTAGTAGTACATGATGACAGCAAAGATGTGGACACATGAGAGCTCTCAAATACTACTGGTTGAAACGTCAACTGGTTTGACACATCTTTTCATGTGCTTTGGAACTATTTGGCAGAATCAAGCAAAGTTTTAAATGCATACACCGTTTTATGATTTTTTTTCTTGAGAAGAATTACCATCATTTCCAAATTTTATGCTTTCCCTTTGTCTAAATACTAAGTCTTCATGTTATCACCTCAAACATTACATTCAAATAGTATTTTAACTTCACCTTTTCTGTGCAATAGACTTTGGAGTTCAATCATGTCTTTGAAGTACATTTCTTGTAGGAATTTACCTCATGAGTGTAGGTCTAGAGCCAATGGCAAGATGTTTCCATATACTTTTTTGTGAGATTTGAAAATGCAGTATCCCAGTATTACACTTTTGAAAATTGTGGTAAAATATACGTAACATAAAAATATACCATTTTAACCATTTTTAAGTGTACCGTTCAGTGGCATTAAGTACATTCACCATGTTGTGCGACCAGTGCCATCATCCAGCTCCCTAACTTTTTCATCATCCCAAACTAAAACTCAATAGTCACTAAACAATAACTCTCCATTCCCTAGTGCTCTCAATCCCTGGTAATCACTACCATACTGTCTGTCTATGAATTTGACTACTCTAGGTATCTCAAATAAGTGAAATCATACATTATTGGTCCTTTTCTATCTGGCTTACCTCACTTAATATGTTTTCAAGGCTCATTTGTGTGGTAGTTATGTATCATAATTTCATTCCTTTTAAAGCTAAATAATATTCCAGTGAATGTGTATAACGTTTTGTTTACACATTCATTTTTTGATGGACATTTGGATTGTTACTATCTGTTGGCTATTGTGAATACTCCTATGAACTTTGGTATATAAATCTGTTCAAGTCCCTGCTTTCAATTCTTTTGGTCCACACATAGAAGTGGAATTGCTAGACTGTATAGTAATTCTATATTTAAGTTTTCGAGGAACTATCATACTACTTTTTATAGTAGCTTTTATGCTACCACCAGCAATACACAGGGTTCCAATTTCTCCATATTCTTGCCAATACTAATATTCTAGTTTTTGGATAGTAGCCATCATAAGGGCTGTGAAGTGGTGTCTAGGGTTTGATTAGCATTTCCCTAATGATTAGTAATATTGAGCATCTTTTCATATGCTTATCGGTCACTTGTCTATCTTCATTGGAAAAATGTTTGAGTCCTTTGTCCATTTTTAAATTGGGTTGTTTTGCTGTTAAATTTTAGAGGCTCTTTATATTCTGGATATTAATGCTTTATAAGATACATAGTATGATTTGCAAGTATCTGCTCCCATTTTGTGGGTTGCCTTTTCACTCCGTTGATAGTACTAAGTATTACAATTTGAAAGAGGATATCAATCCTGCCTCAGATTCAGACAGAACATAAGAAATCAGAAGCCAGATAAATTGTGGACTGTAGATCTGACTAAGAATAGTTTTTACATTTTTAAAGGATTGTGAAAAGTTTTTTTAAAAAGAATGTGACAGAGACCACACGTGGTCTGCAAAGTCTAAATATTTACTGTTTCACCTTCTATTTAAATATTTACTGTTTCACCTTCTATTTATAATTAAAGAAAATACTTGAGAGTTTTTCTATGTGAACAAGAGTTCTTATAGCACATTTTTTTTTCTCTCTAAATAAAAGGGCTAATGCTTTTGTTTGTCTGTTTGCTTAAATAATTTAAGCAGGGTACTGGGATTCATATTCTGAGTTAAATGATTCTGCAAAGCTGTGAATCACAGCTTGGGAAAGTTTCTAACTCCATTAGTCAAGTTCTAAATAGTATGCTGAGAATAAAAAATTTATAACGCCCTATGGCATGTCAAAAAATTACCTAGGAAGGTCTCAAAAAATAGCCAAAAAATCAAAACACAAATTTCCATGTCCTCTCCTACCTTCCTTGAATAAAATGTTCACTCTTACTCTTTAAAAGATTAATGAAAAACTGAAGTTAGTGGCTTCAAACACAAAGGATCCATTGTAAAGAAATATTTCTGTAATCCATTCAATTAAAAGGGATAATCAAGTTTAAGCCAAATAATCTAAGAACAGGAATCATTTCTTTGTAGCATTCCTTCTTGTCACTCCTTTCTACTTTAAAGGCATTCTGTAAGATAAATAAAAATCTAAAAAAGGAACCCAAATCTATAGCTTCCTCCTTTTTAGCTTACAAAAATCATCTTATAAACAGTACAGTAGTTGCATGTGAGATTATTATAAACAGTAATTTTGATGTGCTGCTTGATAGTTATAGTAGTTTTAAATTTTTAGCCATTCATAGGCCATACATTGTATTAATGTTGGTTCAAATTCCAGTCCCACCATGTGAACCTCAGTCTGGTCTTAGTCTCATCTGTAAAATGGAAACTGAGATAGTGTGTAAGTAATGTACATAGCCAAAATTCAGTAAATTCCATTTCCCTTTTCCTCTTGAAAACAGTAATGAAAAAAGCCAAGTAGGTATCAGCTGTTTTTTCTAATAGATTTATATAGGAGAATGACTCTGACATTGAGAATGTTGATTGTAAAATTTAGTGGATGGTAATAGCTTTTGGTTTTGTAATCACTGAAGGCTACGAATGAAAGGCACAGGGAGGGAAAAACTGTAGTCAATACTGGCACTAATACCAGTAATATTAGTTTACGTTGCCAAATTTGCTATCTTACTCCATGGAGATAGTGTAAGTAGTACAAGGGAAAGATATCTGGGAAACTTACTAGTCATTTAGAAGATTATCCTAGCATATTCTTTTTAGAGAAAGGTTATTAACTGAGTTACTATACTGTTCATATTTCTACATATTCTAATAAACTGGGACACAATTTGGCAGGGGAGGGGAGGGAGTCACAGAATAACAAACTTTTATAAGATAGAGAAAAGAAGAAAACACCACCAAAAATGTCACTTTCCCATTCCTTGAAATTCCAGGTAAGTAGCATTATTAGATCAATCTAAAATCCTAAATAACAAGTATGGAGTCACATGATAAGGTAAATCAGATTTAGACTTGGAAGTTTTATTTTAAAAAGACAAAAAAAGGCTTAGAGTCTGTTTTATGGCCTCTGGAGATGATGAAGAATTATTTGAGAACTGTTTTTTCTTATGTCAGGGTCTAAAACTGCTTTACATTTAAAGGCCGTGGTATTACCTAATAGTCATCAGTAGATCAGCTACTAAAAAAGGGATTCCTTTGGAAGAGTTTAGGGAGAAAAAATGTAAACTGAGAGTCCTCATCTCCTTAAACAGGGTTCTTTTCCTCTTCCTCTTTAGTGTCTCAGGTATTGACTTTTACCAAAAGAATGTGCTTAAAATGAGGCAAAAAGTATTCTTTAAAAAGGGGCAGAGGGGCAAAAATTCCTATTAATTTCTTTTTTATTGTAGCAGAGAAAATAGTGATATTTATAAAAGTTAATTAGAGGATGTGTCAAGTGCTTCAACTCTTTCCAAGTCACCACCGGTCAGTTATTGTTCTAAAATATCTAGGAAACAAAAATGGACTACCAGGACAGTTGCGTGAATTCACAATGAGGATGAAACTTCGGGTCATAAGGTTTAATATTTTCTTTCTATATTATGTCTGTCTCATCTACGAAATTAAGAATCTCTGGTGGATGTAGACCACACATTTTTTCATATTTGTATTCCTAATATAACGCCGAATGGCTATGTATAATAGGTCCTATACAAAATGCTGAATGAAAGCAATTAAGACACAATCCCAACAGTATATACATAAAATAACTTTTAATACTAGATAGTAATCATAAAACACTAAGGACAACAAGAAAGTAGGAGAATATATTTCAAGCATGAATTCACCAAGTACCAGGTAGAAGGCCAAAATTTAAGCAAATGGTTGCTAACTTCAAGTTCCTTAACTCTAAGAAGAGTCAGAAGACAGAGATGACAGTGATTTGGCTAATTTCGACATTTCAGAAAGGCCAGTGGACACTGTACATTTACCTATGATAACACTGGTAACCAAAACATCAAGTTTATTCCTTTTTGGCCAAAATAACATCAGCTCAGTAGGGTACAATTTTATCTTATACTGATAAGATGCTCTGATAACAATTAGGTAAATTCTGATTAATAAGAGCTCTTACATATGCTAGCCTTATCCCACTCCCAACACACACTATTAAATAAGTTTTAGACAAAAGCAAAGGAGAAGAAAGAGAATAATGGCAAGCAGAATATTTGTACATTGCACTGGAATAAGTCAAAGGCAGCTGTCCTTAGCTACCCACTGCTCAGTCCTATCCACCAAACTTAGGTCTTGTGGAGTGACTACTCTAAATAAACCTTCCAGTTATTCTAATTTAACAAAAGGACATCTAAGTATAGGAATTTACAGCAGAAAAATTACCTCTCGAACTTCATCATCTTCTTCATTAGTATTTTTTTGTCTGCTTTCTCTGAAACGACGTACCTGAATTATAACAGAGTAAATCATAAATATGTTGCTTATTTCTGTTGTATAAATTATAAAATAGTGGTCTACAATCAGTTAACAGATGCTTTCTATTACAACACAAAACTTGGAAATTTAAGTAAGTTTTGCCTCACAAAGGACAGATATTTTTAAAAAAATCTTATTTTCCCAGTGGTTTTCTGAAGTTTTAATGTAAGGAAAAGTACTCGTAAAAAAAAAAAAAAAAAAAAAATGGACCTAATCAAATTTTATTACCTGCTGCCAAAATATTCCATGTCACTAAAAAAGTCTGTCAGACTACAGAGGAAAAAATTCTAATATCCTATGGGTGTTATACTCCAGTAAAATAGTTAAAAATGTTTCTCTCAAGGTTTGAATTATTACACTGCTCAAATCATTCTTGTGCATCTGACTGCAGACATCCAGGAGGCATCTGAGATGGCATCTAAAGTGGGTGGGTGCCTGAAGATCCATTTTATCAGCAGCCAAATACTGAATGTTTGCGGACCATGGTCCTGGTACCATGAGATACTAGAGATTCCTTTTATACTGGCTCCTACTTAAAAGGTTCTTATAATATAGGTATGTAGTTATTGATAAACTTCACTTATTTAATAGTTTACTCAGCTCATATTTACTAAGCACCTACTGTTTAGTAAGCACAATTGTAGGAATCGAGAATACAATGAATAAAAGAGTTAAAAATTCTGCCCTTGTGGAGCTAGTGTGTGTGTTTGTGTAAAAAAGGATAATCAATAAAGAAAATAAAAAGTTATATTGCATTTTAGAAGGCATACAGGATCAAGTTAATTTATAGGTAGACTGGAAAATTTCTATCTTTATATCTGAGGAGCCTCTGGCATTCCCAGAGCTAGTTTATTTACTGATGATTTTCAACCTAAATAACCAGTTGCACAGCATGGCTTGATTATGTGACCAGAGGAGCATAAAAGACTCCCTGGAACTTCTGCACAAATCTTGGTGTTCAATCCAGGGTATACCATGTGCAAACAGGACATGGGGAACTTATGTCTGGTGTCTCTCAGATCCCTAATGCCTCCCTATACTTATTCCTCCTATACTATATCCTTTGCCTTTAAATAAAGACCTTAAGTGAGTATGCCCAGTGAAGTCTTGTCTTTTCACACATCTGAACCTGTGAAATCTCTGCAAAAGGTGATAAGGGCTCAGAGAAAAATAAGGCAGGAAAGACAAGGTCACATCTGAATAAGATGATCGTGAAAGGCCTCATTGAGGGTAATATATGAGCAAAAATTTTAAAAAGTAGGGGATAAGTCTTGCAAATAACTTAGGAAAATCATTCCATTTAAAAGAAAGAAACTGTGCAAATGCACTGGGGCAGAAGCATGCCTGGTATGTTTAAGAAATAGGAAGGAGGTTGCTGTAGCTAGAGCGGATATGAAGGTAAAGAAGTTAATTAACAGAAAGCCAGATTGAGTTAAGGCCTTGTAAGCAATTTTAAGGACCCTTTTTTAAGGCAGGAATGACTTCATCTGAAATATATTAGGATCAATGACAGCTGAACTGAGGACAGAATGGGGGGTAGAAAAAGGGCAACGGCAGAAACAGATGCCAGTTTGGAGGCTATCGGAATAATCTAGGTGAGAAATGGGGATGCCTTGGACCACTGGTAGTGATGAAGGTGGTGAGAAGTAGTCACATTCTGTATATATTCTGAAGGTAGAGCCAAAAGGATTTATAGAGAGGATGTAGGTACAGAAAGACAGGAGTCGAGGATGAATTCAAAGATTCTGGTCTGAGCAAATGCAAGAATGGTGCTTCCACTAGAACTCTACAGATGAAGCAGGAGATGAGAATTAGAATTCTGATGGGAATGTTAAAAGTTTGAGATATCTATTAACCATCCAGTGGAAATATCCAGCAGACTGTAGGAGACAGAAGTCTTAAGTTGAGAGGTTTGGGTTAGACTTTTGAAAGTCACCGCCAAACAGATGGTATTTTAAAGCCAGGAAGCTAGCTGGATGAGATTACAGTGGGACTGTGTAGACAAAGAAAGGGTCCAAAAACTAAGTTCTCAGGACTCCAATTTAAGAGGCTGGACAGAAGAGAGACTGAAAATATACAATGAAGCAGAAAGAAAACTAGAAGAGTGTGGAGTCCTAAAAGCCAATGGAAAAAAGGTCTCAAGAAAATATCAAGTGAGATTTAAGATGAACTGCCAGTGGATTTAGCAATGGAGGTCACTAGTGACCTTCACAAGAGCAGTTTTGCTGGAATGATAGAGTCAAACCCCCTGAATAGATGGGTTTAAGAGAAAAAGGAGGGAGAATACCAGGTCAGCAGATACAGAAAACTCTTGAAGCAATTATGCTGTAAAAGAAAAAAAAGAAAAGAAAGAAAGAAAGACGAGTCATAGCTAAAGGGAAATAGGATCCAGAGTTGTTTGATGAAAGAAATAACAGCATGTTTGTTCTGTAGAAGGAAAACACAGGAATAATTTTTTTAAAAGATGACTGCTTTTCAGTACAGCTGTTCCAATTTGATACTCCAACCAGCTGCATACTAAATGTTTCTCAAATTGTTACTGCTTTGACAAATTAAAAAAATGCAGTTGACTCTTGAACAAAAGTTTGAAGTGCATGGGTCCACTGATATGTGGCTTTTCTTCAATAAATATACAGTTGGCCCTCTCTATTCCTGGGTTTCGTATCTACAGATTCAACCAACTGCAGGCAAAAATAGCATTTTCAATACGAGGTTGGGAGTTCGTGGATGCGGAGGGCCGACTGTATGCACTGTTCTATTTTTTATATAAGGGGTTGTTTATATAAGGCTTTTCTAATGTAAGGGATTTGAGAATCTGTAAACATTGGTATCTGTGGGGAGTCCTGCAACCAATCCCTCACAGATACTGAGGAATGGCTGTTAAGTTTTGGGGGAGTCCAAAATTATACATGGATTTTCAATTGCATAAAGGTTGGCACCCCTCATCCCCATGTTGTTCAAGGATCAAATATACATTTAGTTTTGAGTTTCTTTGATTATCCTAGGCAAAACACTATTTTTATATGCTTATTAGCCACATTTCTTTTGTAAACCACCTATTCATGTCCTTTGTTTATTATTTTACTGAAAGGTTTAGTATTTTTAAGATTTATAAAAGTACTTAAATATTACATTAAGAATATTAACCCTTTTTCTGACCACATACAAATATTTTTCATGTCAACACCTTCTAATTGTTTTTTGACAATCTGACATGTGAACATTTAAAATTTTTTTATGTAGTAAAATATAAAGAGCTTCTTTACTCTGTGATTCTTCCACTATTTTTATGTTTAGAGAGAATGCATTTTCTAGATGAAATTGAAAATCTCAGTCAAAACTCTGAGCCGAACTTTTCATCCTACAAGGTTCATTTTAAAGCACTTTCATGATCTTCAAGAAGATACTATCTACGGGAAACAAAACTAACATTTAGTGGGTATCAATCATTTTTAAGACACTTACTTGACATTTTCTAATTTAATCCTCATTTCATGATCTCAATTTTATAGATGAAGAAACTAAATAAATTAGAGAAATTAATTAGTAGTTTACCAGAAAGAAACTCAGAGCTACTCTTAATAAGAGATTGACTGAACAGACTTATCCCCGTGCCCCAAATTAGTTACTCACCTCTTCATCAATTTTATCTTCTAGGGCATCAATATGACGTTCTTTAAGAAATCTCTGTGTTTTTTCCAACTGGTATTTCACTAATTCCTCTATGGCATCTTTCTCTTCCTTGTCCACAAATTCTTGTACTGCTTCACCCATTCCCCTTTCTGTTAGAAGTGAGAGCTGCACATTCTGTAAGAGAGATACAAATCAGTGGGTGCAGAAAATAGTTCCATTCCTTGCAAAACAATTCTATATGAGCAAGAAAAATTACAGAATAATGTTTCTAAGGAAAAGACAAAAAAATATCTAGTTATTGAAGGAAAAACAAAACAAAACAATAGACACTAATTAAGCCAACTGATAAATATTAAGGGCCAGAAAAAGCAAAGCAGAAAACGAGAAACGGGAGTATAGGACAGGTGGAAATGCAGAGGCCTGAGTGACTGGGATTACAGAGACCAGAAGTGGCAGCTGATGATTAAGAGAGATTAGGTTAACCAGTGTGGTAGGCAGAGTAATGGCCCCCAAAGATGTCCACATCCTAATCTCTGGGACCTGTGAATATGTTACATGGCAAAGGAAAACTAAGGTTATAGATCGAATTAAGGTTGCTAATCAGCCGGCGGTAAAACCAGATTATCAGGTACTATACAAGTGGGCCCAGTGTAATCATGAATATCCTTACAAGTGGAAGAAGGAGGCAGAAGAAGGTTGTTGTAGAGAGATATAACTAGGGAAAAATAACCAGAGATATAACATTGCTGGCTTTAAAGATGGAAGAAGGGGGCCATGAGCCACGAAATGTGGCACCTCTGGAAAAGATAAGGAAATGGATTCTACCCTAGAGCCTACAGAAAGGAACGCAGCCCTGCTGACACCTTGATTTTAGTCCAGTGAAACCAGTGTCAGTTTTCTGACCTACAGAACTCTAAGATAATAATGTGTAGTTTTAAACCACTACATTTGTGGAAATTTGTATCAGCAACAATAGGATACTAATACAACCAGAGGATCTTAAAGTAGCATTTACTTGTGACAGACAATAAGAGTATCTTCATCATCCTGTGGCTATATTAATAAAGTAATTCTGAAATTACATCCAGATGCAAAAAGAAAGTAAATCCTGGATTCAGACTTATGTAGTGAAGATAAAAAGAAAGTAAGAGGGTAACAACATCAACAATAGCCACAACAATATTAATAACTAACATTATTTAAGCACATAATTTTTCTTGGTGTACAGTAGCTATAAAAAATGTAATTAATTACCACCCTACTTCATGAAAACATTTTGTGGATTCCTTTTATTTAAAAAATATCAATTATACATATCCTAAATTAAAATCTGTTATTATAAGATAGCCATTATTGAAAATGTAAACTGTAATTAAGTAATTACCTTCTCTGCAGTTTGAAAATACTGTTTTACAAGGTCTTCCACCCTTAGAGTCATTCCTTCTGAAGGTCTTGTAATGAATTTCCCAAAGTTGATCTCTTCTCCTGGAAAGAAGAAGTCCATGAAAAAACAGCAGCTTCTATTATAAAGTTAAATTGCCCAAACTCATTGCACGTTGCTGTCAGTGGAAGTGGTATGTCCAAACTTTATCAACAGTCAGCTTGCTCAGTGTGGGATAAATTTTGAGGCAAAAACATGACATTTTTGCTAACAGCCAGTCTTTTCTCCGAAGTTTGTATTGGTTTTGTATTATCACCAAATAGCATATTTCCTAGCAACTATTCTCACAGGATGGTCCACAGACTTCTGGGGGCGCTCAAGGTCAAAACTACTTTCATAATAATACAAGGATGTTATTTACCTTTTCCACTATGGTGACATATGCACTGCTAATACAAAAGCAATCGTGGGTAAAACTGCTGGTGCCTTGGGATGAGTCAAGGCAGTGGCTCGGAACTGTGCTAACAGTTACCGCCACATGCTCACAATTCAAAACAAAACAAAACAGACTGTTTCATTAGAAAAAGCGATGATAAAAAGATGAGCTCCCTGCCCATAAGAACGAATGATTAAAATACAGGGTGATTAGTTCTACAACAGAAGTAAGAACAGAGCAGAAAAGAAATAAACTAATTCTTCTCAAAGAAGGTTGAAAATAATAAGCAGATATCCCATACAGCTATCATCTGAACTAAGACTTGCAGAATGAATAATATTCACTCAGTAAAAAGGAAAAAGAAAAAATATTTTAGGCAGAGAAAAAGTATATGCAACAGCCTATAGGTAAAGAGGTACAAAGTTCAGTGTGCCTCTTGCAAAGTGATGAGGACAAGTGAACAGAGATCTTTTTGAATTTCAAGACAATAGCATTAATATAAATTTATAATATGATTACATTTTACTATGCCAGACATTATCTTAAGACCATTTATGCACAGAATACCGACTAAGCCTCAATCATATAACTCGACAGCTCTAAGAAAAGCCTCCATATTTAACATTATATTTATGGATAAACACTACAGTTGGCACCATTATGCTGATTTTATAGACATCAGAAAGGTAATTTGCAAAATATCACACATGTGGTTAAGTAGCAGAGTCGTTTAAAACAACAAAAAACTTTAAACATATGAGGGATCACTGTTTAATTCAGTAATTTAAGTTTAAACAAAAAAGGAATCATTAGAACAAAACTGACTATAGGTGACACTCAAGTAACATAGGGTACTAGTTTTATATTCTGTATTCTTATGAATGCTACACCCATAAAATCTCAAGTAATTGATAAGGATGGACAACGAAGTAAAGCACTATCAATAAGTACTTGCTTAAAATTTGAAGTATAAAAATATAATTCTCTGATACAGATTTCTCCCCCTAAAACAGTATTCTATGAGCTCCATTTAAACATTTGAATGGCTGTTTCAGGTTGAGTTAACAGCATACACGATTTCATTACAATTTAACATTGAAAATAGGAGCCCATTAAATCCAAGTTAATAAAAACCTAGGTAGCTTACTCATAAAACAAGAGCCATTATTTTTCTATGAAAAGTCTCTGACTCAGCTCTAAGAAAAGCCTCTATATTTAACATAATATTTATGAATAAACACTATAGTTGGTCTTTGAACAACTTGAGGGTTACGGGTACCTATTCCCTGCACAGCTGAAAATCCATGTATCTTCTGAAGCCCCCAAACTCAACTAATTGCCTACTGTGGACTGGAAGCCTTACCAATAACATAGTCAATTAAACATATTTTGTATGTTATATGTATTATATACTGTATTCTTACAATAAAGAAAATGTTATTAAGAAAATCATAAGAGAAAACATAGTATTATACATACTTATTGGGGAAAAAAAAATCAACATGTAGGTGGACACATACAGTTCAAACCTGTGTTGTTCAAGGGTCAACTATTTCAGTCAGATGATCTTTTTTATAAGTGCTAAAATAAGGGCAATTAGTTCTTATGATTTTTAATTAGAAACTAATTTCCTGATCATCAGAAACATCAAACTATGGCATTTCATATTTCAAAAGACTAAAGTCTTCCTAAATCACTGTAACACTCTTAAACTGAAAAATTTAACAATGCAAAGTATATTCTCTGAACATTAATACTGTATAGTAAATAACATTTATTTTGAGCAATAAATCTCTAAAGTCTGTATGTGTTGTCACTAAGCAGCACTATTAAAAAAACTACATCTGCAGAGAAAGCTTCCATTTCTTACTGATACCCACACAAGTTTAAAAATGATTGCTATCCAATTTTTAGAAGAGATTTTATTATTCCAACTATCAGTTTATTTGTAAGATATTAGAAAGAATCACAGTAAAACATTTTCCATTATTATTTTAGATCTCTTTACAAAAGATTGAATTATATAAATCCTATAAGAAAAGTTTTTAATTTGTAAAAATAACTAGCTTACCTGTGTTTTCCTTCTGTTCTCTACGCCTGAAAAAATGGATAACATCTTTTGGATTAGCTATTCGATCCACAAATTTCTGGTTAAAGCGAAGAACATTGAAAGGTTCAAAACCTCCACTATAGTCCACCTGAAAATACAGAATAAGCTATAAAGGCTAGAAAACAATTTACCGCTTCAGTGTTTAGGTTTATGCTCAAAACTTTTAAGTTAATAAATTAATGTTCTATAGTTCATTTTAAAGATCATGATGAAGCTATACCATTTATTCTACTGAGAAAATAAAGCTTCAAAAATTTATACACTTATGCAAAATACAGCAAGAATTCCCACAATGTGGAAATGATTACATTTCCTCATAACACTAACAGTCTAGGCACCAGCAGTACCATCTGAAAAGGAGATGGAATTTTTCAACAAAGTTTCAAAACTGCAACAGTTCACTGGTCTATCATCTTAGGGATATGCTTTCACACTAGATAAGAATAAATGCTGGGAAAACCCATGTAGGAAAGGAATCAAATTTGTGAGCTCTGAGAAGTGATTACCTGCAAAACACAGGATCTATTTAGAACAATTGCTCTCAAGGCAGTCTCCAAAGAACTCTATAGTGGTATAAATAACTTTACAAAGAAAAATACCACATTTCTTTCTAAGAGATATACAGTTGAACAAAGTGAGGGCCAACCGTCCACACAGTCAAAAATCCACATATCACTCTTAACTCCCCCAAAACCTTACTACTAATAGCCTACTGTTGAACAGAAGCCTTACAGATAATATAAAGTCGATTAACATATATTTTGTATGTTTATATATTATATACTTACTGTATTTGCAATGAAGTAAGCTGGAGAAAGGAAAATGTTATTTATAAAATGATAAGGAAGTATTTATTGGAAAAAATCCACCAATAAGTGGACCCACGTAGTTCAAACCCATGTTGTTCAGGGGTCAACTGTAATCATTTTCCAAAACTAGCTGTATTCAACATAATGCTCTAGGAACCAGCATTGTAGCATATCACCAGCCTATCCAGACTACTATCTAACCTCCACCCACTTACACTGTTCATCACACTTAGCGCGAGCTGACATTTATTCATTTATTTGCTGTTTATTATGTCTCATACCTCTACCTCCCATAAGCTCCACAAGTTCAGAACCTCATTGTTTCATCATCACTATGTCCCCCAGCACGCAGAACAGAAGCTATTCAATAAATATTCGTTCACTGAATCAATGAATTAAGATGGTAGTCTAGTCCATCTAGTGTCCATACAGTATACTTTTGGAATATTACTTACATGGAAAATCTGTTCATTTCATAAATAAATTAGTAATTTATTGTGTTTATGAAAAGGAATGCCAATTTTCTATATAAGTCTGATTGATTCTAATGGTATCAGGTAGACGTAAATGAAAAACATGGGATCTTCTACCCCGATAAGAATTATGTGGTTCCCCTAAAGCAATTATGTTTGTATTACCCAGACCATCACTACAGCTGTTGTGTCATAAAACAGAGAATGTGAAATGCTGAAGCTATTGGGTCTCCTCAAAACTCATCAAACGTTTTAACAATTATACTCCAGTTGAGCTTTATTTGCAATTTTCTGCTCCTGAGTCACAAAACATGTTCATTAAGCAAACTTTATTGAGTGTCCACAATGTGCTACGTACTCTAAGGGCCAGATACAGCCACGAATAAAACACAATCCTGGTTGTCAAGAAATCCACAAGCTGACCAGGAAGACAATCACGTAAACGATAATTGTAAGCAGAATGTGAATGGCACTGTAAGAAGTATGTACAGAGTAGACTTAGGACACAAAAGAAAAGCATCAACTCTGAAGGGAGGTCAAGAAAGGCTTCTTCGAAGAGGGAAGCTTTACGTGGGTGCTGAAGGAACTATTATGGAAGGAGAGAAGAAGCACATTCCACACAGCAGGATCGACCTGGGCAAAGATGTGACAGAGCAAAATAAACTCTACGATATTATCCTCTGAAAATCAATAAAGTTAAATTTATCTAAAATAGGACTTACTCGCAGTCGTATAAGAGGCTTATCTGGCTGTCGAGGATTTCCCAGACGTTCCCGTTCAGCATTTTCAAGCAGCTCTTCAATCTCAAAATAAAAATATTGTCATGACTGAGGGTAGGGATACTACTGGCACCTAATGGGTGGAGGTCGAGAGGATATTCTTAACAACCTCCTACAACAAAGAATTACCCAGTCCAAAATGTCAATTGTGCCAAGCTTGAGAGACCCTGGGTTGCCTGGCCCAGGTCTGACCAATTAATTAATTTTCCATCTTCCTGGCTTCAGAGATTGAGTTTAGGAACAAGTACAAGACTTTAGTACAGAGAAACTTAATGCTAGATGTTTATCTAGAAGTACCAGGAAAAATGATTCTTTCAGCTCTAAGAATAATGTAAATCTATGGTGGCCACCATGTGAAAAATGCCCTCCTTGTAGTGAAGCTTAAGACAGACACCATCCGAGCAGGTGGCATGAGGCTAGCCACATGCACAGAGACAGAGAAATTCATGATCTTGAAATTTGAGCTTCTGGATCTAGTCATCTTGAAACCAGCATACTCTCAAACTTTTCATCACGTGAGTAACGTGTTGCTAATAAAGCTGTGACGCTGCCTGAGTTGCTTTATCTAAAATTTAGTTCCTCTTTCTATAAAATGTGGACAGTAGAATCTATCTACCCATAGCATTGCTGAGTGAATTAAATGCAAAATTTTGTCAATGGTGTCCAGAATGTATA